CAAAATAATCGTAGAGGTACAGGGGGCCTGTGTGTGTGTGTGCGGACCTGGGACTTTGACCAGACTTGTCTTCAGAGATGTTTTTCAGAATGAAAGTACTATGATCTGATCAGGGAAATATGGGGAGAATTATAATGGCAACATAAGGGGCATGGGCAGACACTGTTCAGAAGCTGTGTGTGTTAGCCTATGTTTAGTTTCAAGAAGCAATGGCTTCAAATGAAGAGGACATGCAGTTATATCAGAACACGGGGTCTGGAGCGGGTCAGGCGCGTGGTGGGTATTGTAGATCAAGGAGGCTTCACAGATAATGCTCTTGCTTTCTGAGTGACGTGAGAGCAATGTGTTGACTGAGCAGTTCCCGCTCTCAAATCATCAAGAAATAACACAAAGGAAAGATTTCACTTTTAAAAATGCAACCAATGTTTGAGAAATCAAATTAGACCCATCTCTTACTGCCAGAATCCTTGGTATTTTAATTTTCTTTTAGAAGATTAGGGGATTTTAATTGTTATCGGTTGGCTAAATAGCTGCTGAGAAATCTGTATGCCATTATAGGAAAAGTGGATTAGTACTGCTTTTCTGATTGGAAGCACAAAGTCCTCTTTTCTCTTTATAAAGTTTTATTTATTTTTATTTGAAAGGCAGGATTACAGAGAGAGAAGAGACGGAAAGAGAAAGAGAAGGGTCTTACACTGCTGATTTACTCCCCAGATGATTGCAATGGTTAGAGCTGTGCTGGCCTGAAGCCAGGAACTTCCTTTGGGTCTTCCGTGTTGATGTGGGGGTCCAAGCATTTGGGCCGTCGTCTGTTGATTTCCTGGGTAGATCAGATGGGAGGTGGATGGGAAGTGGGGCAGCTGGGACCCGAATGGATGTCAGTATGGGATGCCAGTGCCACAGGTAGGGGTTTCACAATGCTGGTCCTCACTTTCTTATATGGCACATCACTTGCATACATGTAAAATATTCTAGTCACATGTGTATCTAATGAGTTATTAGTGGCTTTCATAGATCTCCTTTCCCATCAACTCTATCTATCCATCTGTTTATCTTTCTATCTATCTTTTATCATCTACTTACATAGTAATTTGAGTTCTCCTAGAAGATTACAGAATATTGCGTCACTGGTGCTCTGCTCGCTTTCAACATCTGTTGTGCGAAGGATGGCTACAGAACTTTTCTCAGTCAACACATTGCTCTCACATCACTCAGAAAGCAAGAGCATTTTCTGTGAAGCCCATCACAGTTCCTTCATATTTCCATAGGGTCTTGTAAAGTAAAGAGGAAATGTTGAAAGGAATGAAGTCAAATCCAATTTTTGAAATATGCCGAAGACTCTCACATTTTTTTTTGGTGGGTTACTCTGCAATTCCAAGGTTCTATAATTTTAAGTTGGCTTCAGAGACAAGCTGAGAACAACAAGTCTGGGAAAGTTAGAGCCAGACAGGATTAGCTCCTAGCCTCAGACCAGGGAGTGGTTATATTCTTCTGATACGGCAGTAAAGCAGGTGGACAAATATGAAGGCACCAGGTGTTTACCAGCTGAGGGAAAAAAAGGGAATAACAGTTTCATAAAACACCGAAGACTAAAGAGAATAAAAGTTCATTTTAGCATGTATTTTTCTATAAGAATGTTAGAGTGTATTTTAATTCTCTGATGTGTTCTGGACATGTTTTCATTCTGTGAGTTTTCCCAAAGTGTGTTCTCTGAGGTAGCATGGTGAGTGTTGAGTGTGTGTGTGCTTATGCAGACTAATTCCATGAGACATGATACCACGCTTGTCACTTCTTCATCAATCTTCCCAGTCTCCTGGGTGTACTGAAGTTGTTTGTGTGTGTGTGTTTGTGAAAAAGAGAGAGTTTCTGTGTAATGATTTGGTCCTTAACTCTTCTGTTTAATATTACAAGTAAAGTTTCATTATTCCTATTAATTTAGTAAAGACAAACAAATCCCGTTCTGAAAAAAATGACTTCAGAAGATCTCCCATAGTGTGAGGACGTTGTTTTTTTCCCACAAGACTCCCAGCTGCCGAGAAGTACCCTAGAGTTAACTGATTGGACGGATTGTGTGGGTACATGGGGATGAAGCCACCTGGACGTCTAAAAGCACTTTTGAACCTAGGGTCATATTTTCCATCCTAATCAGTGCCCTGTTGGAATAACTCCATCAGTCAAATCAAGCAAATGGCGATGCAGCGGAGAACAGGGAATCCTTTCCCTGGGCCACCTGCACGTGTGCCCAGGGATGATGTTTCGGAGTAGCGAGAAGGGATGTGGTGAAAGGGGTCCCTGGTCCAACTGTATTAAATCCCTGCCTGTTCCCTGGCACAGGAAGTGCCATTTTAGCTTTTATTCGTGTGCCATTTGTTGAACTAGAAATGATGTTGTGATGAGAAGCTGATTCTCGTTGTGTGGAAGGCCAGGAAGAAGTTTAGAAAGCGATTAGAAGTCCAACCGACCTTGGGAAGGGGCAGCGTTAATTGGACTGGGGTCTGCTGAGGGAAAGGTGTCTGAGCATCTTTCTGGAAATTTCTTCCATACTTGGCATTGAGTGTTTCTGACAATCCCAAGATCACTGCATCTGCTGGCACATCAGGAAGGTGTACAGAGCTGTGAATGGGATGGGTTGTAAAGTAGAGCTTTGCTTTTCTGGCTTTCCCATACTAGCTTTTTGGGCGACTCCTCTGCCTAGCATGATAACAGGTGTCTCAACTGAATTGTCAAAGTCATTCATTGCTTTTATTTTATTCAGAGAAGACATAATGAAGATGGTAAAAATTTTAGCTGCGCTTTGGAGGAAAAAAGGCAACCGCTCATGGTGACATCCTTTGAGCATTTCTTACGGGACACAGAAAGCGTCTGTGAATCATCTCAGTCAATGCTGAGAGGCACAGGTGCTTCTTGATAGACGAGGAGGCTTAGACAAGTTAGGAAACCTACTTAAATCACCCAAATGACAGATTGAGACTGGCAAGATCAAAGCAGATCTGCTTCTAGAGCCAACCACCAAGTCTCCTAGTGTTCCCTGTAGGGGAGCCAGTTCAGAAAAAGAAAAAGGTGTGTCCGGGGGCACCGACATGCCCATAGTGAAGTACTGGGGCAATGCATTGTTTTGTTGGAGTGGACATTTCAAGTCTGGAAATTGTAGGAGGTCAGTTATCTGAATATGGCTGTAGAATCCTGCATTGTCTTCATGGTCCAGCAATAGTTTTTCTGTCTCTACTCTCTACCTAGATTGGTCTTTTCTCAGTTGCTCAGTGGACCATGTTCTCTCGAGCAAAGGCTGGGATTCTGTGGCTGGGGGAGTCGCTTGTTTGCGATGAGTAAAGGTTTGTGAACAGCCGAGTCTCCTGTTTAGAGCATTGGGAATCCCTTTCATTTTCAGCATTTGAAAGAGCATCTTGCTTATCATTGTGCTGTTAGCGGTAACACCTTGCACGTTCTCGTTGTGAGTGGATGGGGGGATCATGCTCAGTAGTTCTCTGGTGATGTCTCTGTCTAGTTTTAGTGTCAAAGTCATGTCGGCTTTTTGAAGTGAATTGGGAAGTGTTCTCCATTTTGTGTTTTCTGGTAGAGTTTGTGCAGAATCGGTCTTATCTCTTACGCGTGTGATTGAATTAGTCATCACAGCAGTCTGGTTCTGCTGTTGCTATTGTTGCTGCTGGTATTATATTCTGATACTGATTTCGGGTTTTAGAATCAGGCGACTTGAGGTTAATATTTCACTCTTGATTTCTCTCTGTGGGATGTTAGATAAGTCACTGATTCACTCAGAGCTTCAGTCTCCTCTAACAAAATGTGTGATCGTGAAGATGCAGTGATTGAATATATGTTAGATGTTCAATACTATACTACATATGTTTTCATATGCATAGCACCTCCTTTAAATGATTGATAACTGATTACTCTTTATTATTTACTACTGTATGATTCTAAACCATGCTGCGCTATACTGTACTAACTTCTACGGTCTTGGCTTTTAAGCCCCTACTCTATGTTAAATAACACTTATGTTTGAGAATCACCGTGAGTACTCATAGGGGCAATTCATCTAAACATGTAAATTTAGGTTTGTTGTTTAATGAGTATTTATTGTTATTAATAATATGCATTTGTTATTATTTTGGAATGAAGTTACCTTGGAGTGTTTTTCCAACTGCAATACATTTTAGCATATAATCAAATAATGTTTTAATAAATAATCAAATCATGTTTTATAGTTCATGGTGTGAAATTCTTGAAGCATTTGCTGGACTTTTCAAAGCGATATTGTGAGCATCAAATCTAATTAGGAATCACAACTTGAATTCTTGCCCCGGTTCAGCACCGACTTTTTGTGCAATCTTGGTAATTAAGCCTCTTGAGATGTACAACGAGGACGTGAGGGCTATCTGTTGTCACTGCTTCGACCTAATGTGTTGAGTGGTTTAAAAAAGAGAGGTGTCTGAATACAGTCAGTGCTAATATTAAATGCACATATATTCTATGCAGTGATAAAAATAAAAGTCATTTGTTGATGTACAAGTATATCTTGAACTGACTCTGAGCAACATATTTACTCTGGTTTGGTGCAAATCAAAGTCATTTAATTTCGGGTCTTCCTTTGCTTGCTTTTCATGTCGGCCAGAGGAGATATTGTAACTGCCACTTGTGAACACGTTGGGTTCATTTTCTTTGAAGCTCGTCAAAGACAACCTCAAAAGTGAAATTACATTAGAACATGTGGTTTACCCTGTGTCACAGCCTGCTAGGCTTTTTAAAGATATTTTAAAAATGATAAACTCTTTTGTCAAAATACGTATCATAACGGTATAGTGTGTATGCCAATCAAGAGTGGGAGTGGTGTGGAAGATTGGCGTGGGGGCATTTTGACAGAGGGTGAACAAAGAAAAGCCTTCTATTGGGAAATATAATATTGCACAGAAGATCAAATGCTAAGGAACAATGCTCAGGGTGGGACAATGGAATAACATGTTGCTTTGTTTTGTCAATTATAGCTGACTTTGGACTGGCAAAGCAAAAGCAAGAAAACAGTAAATTGACGTCCGTTGTCGGAACAATCCTGTACTCTTGGTAAGAACGTTTATTTTGTGACTCTCGGATATCATATTTAATTGGCTTGGGCTGCCATTTCTATTGTTGACTAGTGAAGTAAAGAAAACCGTGAGAAAGAAAATTTCTTTAATGGATTCTTCCCAACTACCGAGGTTAACACATGTGAATAAAATTGTGGGTTAATATGTGTTCGTACTTGAAACAGCTAACACAAAATATGATGTTTTTTTTTTCTAAGATAGCTTTTCTTCTCATGGAGATTCATTTTATAAGGTAAAAACGGAAATGGTCTTTGACATACAGTAGGTGTGCAGTAATTGTTGAATTGATCTGACAATGAACCTGTAGATACTGCTGCCTGACCTGAAACTTGGGATAGTTTATTAAACTTTCTTGTTTTTAGAACTCTTTCCCTTTTTCCCACATATAAATTTTCAAAGGCAAGAAAATGATTTTTTTTTCTTTCCTATTACCTATCCCAGTCCCTGGCACATAATAGGCTTTGAGGAAGTGTTACTGCAGGAATGAATAAATGGTGACATTTACTGAGACATATGTGTGAGTGTCTATATTTTGATGAACTGATACCCTTACAACTTCTATAGTGTGCTTTGAGAGTTCCATTGCAAATCGCACATCGTTGTGTCGGGAGAGCTCTCTTTTGCTGATCACATGTAATTAGCTTGAACATGCTGACATTGACAGACACGTTAATCAGTAGAACAGCGTATCTCCCAGAATTGTTTGAAATGTGATTCAGTAGATCAAGGAATCAGAGCACTTTCCCTTTCCTTTTAAATCTATCTTGAGTCCTGATGATAGAGATGAGTGTGACTCTTCCTGAGACTGGAAACTGGAAACAACAGCTCCATTTTATTGTTGCACACAAGGATGTTCGGTATTTTGGAGAAGGGATTTTCATTCATTTTCCTAAAAGTTCCATACATCTTTTTTTCTTGAAGATATTTCTGTGAGAACCTACCAAGACCTTGGTAGCCAGGCTATTCCAAAGCCTCAAGTTTATCTGTAGAATGAACCTTTTTAACAATAAGGCTGACACACGTACTACTTGTCAGGAAAGAATATTTCCTTTTGCTTCACCTTGCATTCCTTTTCAAAAATAATGCAAATTTGATTATAACCTTATTACCTAATCACATATTCAGCAACAGATTTTATTGTCAACAAAGAAAGTTACGGAAAAAAATAAATTACGAGCTTAAGTTTCAGTTGATTATACTTGGCTAAGCAGAATGTTATTACTAAGACTTTAATTAAGTTTAGAATTGCTAACATGATAATATCAGCTCTTTGTGAGTGAAAGAGTGAGAGCGAGCAAGTGAGAGAGAGAGACTGTATAGTACATAGGAACAAATCCAAAGCATGGAACTGTTTTTGCTTTATTAGCCAGAAGATGGATTCACATTTTCCTTTATTTCTTTGAAAGATTTATTGATTCATGTCAAAGGCAAAGTTACAGAGAGAGAAAAGAAAACTTGCATTCATTGGTTGCTTCTCAAAATGCCCAAAGCAGTGGATGAAGGCCAGGCCCAAACCAGGAACTTGGAACCCATGCAGGTCCCTCCGCATGGGTGCCAGGACCCAAGCACTTGAGACCTTAGTTGCTGCCTGCTAGGATGCATGGGTGGGCCCTTAGCAAAGTATGCGGGGTTCCAACTGTCATTCTCAAAGGAGAGATGCGTGTCCTAAGAGGCAATGTCACTATGCTCACTTCCAAATTTTGTAATTTGATTGCAGCTTCCCTGGGTCTGTACAGTTGCGTCCCAGAGGAGTTTGATGTTCTAGTATCATTCATTGTGCACGTCCCTTCGGCTTTTGATTCCCCCAATATTAGCTTATCCAATGGAATACATTCCCTTCATCATCTTCTTAGGGAATTTCTTGGAGCATTCCTTATTTTTCTGCTAGACAATTGGGTTTCAGGCATGTGGCTTGGTCGTTGTTCTAGAAAATCAGTAAAATCTCCTTTTCTTCGTTGAATTTGATTCATTTTTAAGGAGGTTTGTATCATTTTCAAGGACAATAATATACAACTATGGTCTTTATATATATAAATATATATGCAGAAAATAATGGAATATTTATTTAATAAATATTTGTTTTAATAAATATTTATTATGAAATATATATATATATATCCAATTGATTAATACCACTTATTAAAGTGACAGTCATTTCTCTTCTGGGCTCTCTATTCTGTTCCATTGATCTGTGAGTGATTTTTATGACAGTACCATGCTGCTTCAATAGCTATAATGTTATAGCATGTTTAGAATTAAGGCAGTGCCATGTCTGCAGCTATACTTATCATTTACGCATTTATGCTTACGATTACTTGACTATTCTGGGCCTTTTGTGGGCTCATATATATTAATATTTTTTCCTAATTCTGTGAAGAATATCCTGGGAATTTTGGTGGCGATTGCCTTGGTTCCATTCATTGCATTCGTTGCAATTCATGAGCATGGAATAACTTTCCTTTTTTTTTTTGTATTTTGTTATTTCTTTCATAAACTGTCACTTTAGAGATTTTTCATTTGCTTGGCTCTATTTATTCCTAAATACTCTTCTGGTAGCTACTTTGACAGCGTTTTCATTTGCTTGCTGTTGATGCAGGTCTAAAATGCTCCTCTCTGGACAGGTCTTATAAAAAGCTGTGAGCTTACGTCCCTGCCTAACATGGGCCTTTGCTTAAATATCACTCCTGTAGAGACCTTTGCTCCAGTCGCTTGCCGGAAGAGCAAGCTCTCTTCTGACTGTCCCATAGGACTTTCAGTAGCCCTTGCTTCTGCCTCACCTTAGATCGCACAGACGCGTGATTCCTGACTTAAGATGCTCTCGCTTGTTTCTGCTGGTCTTACAATGGTAGAAAAGCAAGATGCATCCAGTGGAGACCTACGTGAATTTTAAAATTTTGATCTTGTCCCAGATTAAAGACGTATGATGGTGCTGTCTCATGATGCCAGGCAATAGCAGGGACTGCAGCCGTGCAGTCCGTTTGCGTTGAGAGAGGATGCTCCAAGCTAAACTGGGATGCTTAGCAGGTCTACTCTTGAGTGAATTTGCAATATTTCCGTCTCACGATGGTTTATCGGGACATAAACCCTCATCACAAGTTGAAGAGTATCTGTGTTTGAACTAGTTTATTGTGTCTCCTCTACTGCTGAGACACGTGCTCTGTGGGTATTGAACTTTCATTTCCTTTGTTTTGCCCAGGGCCTAGAGGAGCAGCCTAGCAGAATCTAAATATTTTGAATAATTAAAGAGAAAACAAGTCATTCTGAATTTTAATGTGATTAAAGCTCAGTGGGCATTTTTATCAGACTCTAAGAAACTAGCAAATCTTTGAATTTCTTTTTGTCCAGCGGAGCCTGAAGCAAAGGATTTTAGTTTGAAGCAGTAAGAACCTTGATGACCAGGTCTGTTTTAGTTTTTCTATTAATTTTATCCTTATATTGTCCTGGCTGTTGGGGGCAGTGAATAATAGGAGAGAGTAGAATGTTATCATTTAAAAATGAGGAATGATGATAATGTATTGAGGCGCGTATTCTCCTGTGACTGATAAATTGGCCCCGAGAGAAACTGCAAAAGAGGACTTTGAAAAATAAGAGCATAATTGGGATCAGAATGTGGTATTGATATGCAAGTTAGAAGGTCATTTTTTAAGAACATAAGCTCTGGAATCAGACTGCTTGGGTTTAAATGCTAGCTCTGCCATGGAGAGAGATGATTGCGTTTCTCTGTGCCTCTATTTTCTCATTTGCATCTTGAGGGTAATAGTAGTCCTCATCTCAGTAATGTTGTGAGACTAGGTGAGATGAGTCACAGTGCCTGGCTGGCACGTGGTGAGCACCTGCTGGGTGACAGTGATGGCTACGTGCGAGCGGTCTAGGGTTGGAAAGGACAGTATTCATTCGAGTGTGTAGACTGGATTGTGACTTAGAGTCAGATCTGTTTGCTAACAACAGTAGAGTTAATTGTGCTGCGCTATTTAGAGCTCTTCTTCCTCTTTGGCTCCCTGCTTGGTGTCTGGATTGCTGTTTTGGCGACTGGCAGACTCCAGGGTTTTCTAGCAACCAGGTGCACACAGCTGGGATATAGGTCAGGCAAGGATGTACTTTCAGTGTGCACAGAGGGGACACCCGCAGGGACAGAACTCTGCAGTGCGTGTTGAACGAACAAGCAGAAGGGAGCTTCTGCCTGTAACCGGCTCTGTTACTGCTTTTTTGTTCCCCCATCAGGGCACTAACCTTACCTCCTTTTCTGCTCACATCTCTGTTGACACACGTGCTCATGTGCAGAAACACACACACACACACACAGAGTTGTTTTGTTGTTTAGGTTCATGAGGAAAGAACTTTGCATGAAACTCAGGCTTTAAAATATATTATAAATAAAACTTCATATTTTATATATTTATATATTATAATATTACATATTCAAGTCTCGGGGTATAGGTGCCACAGTCTGATGAATTTAAATACAGCTGCTAAATGGAACGTACTTGTAGAGAGGATGCAGTAGGGTTAACCCTCCCCGTAACATCTTACTTATCAAACAGTCACACAGAGAGCTTTGGCCTACCGTGGGGATGGTCCTTAACCAGCCCGCATCCTGGGTTGGAGTGCGTGGGTGGCAGCCTTGCTTCTGCTTTTGATTTCAGCTTTTACTAAGGTAGACCTTAAGGGCTGAGGTCCTGTCGCCCGTGTGGCAGACCCAGAAGGGGTCCAAGCTGCTTCCTTAACCCTGACCACGTTCTGCTGCTGCTGTAGACATTTAGGGAATGGACCAGCAGACTGAAGCTCCTATGAATCTGACGACCCTTCAAAATAAACAAATCTCATGGAAACAGAACTTTCTAAGTAGGTGCACTCGTCTAGAAATATTGTCATTTAATCCTCTTACAGACAGGTGCGACTATCTTACATAATCTTAAGGAAGGTAAAGCGGTCTCACCAGCGTTACGGAACTAGCAATTGGAGGGACCTGGGCTCAAA